CGTGGCTAGGTTCGCTGATACCCGCGGCGTGTGCTGATCTTCGCATTGGCTTTCCTTGGTTCGAACTCGCACGTGCGTTCTCAACCATTGCAGATCTGAGAGCATCAGACACATCTGGGCACCTGATTCTGCGCATGATGCTGTAACGAGATTTCTCTTGAGCCATCTGGGAATGAGATGGTTCCGATAGTATTGTTTGATTATTGGACTTGGATCGAACTTGCTTTGCATATCGTACTCCGGGCCTTGCCACTAATCTCAATTCCAGTGAAACTGCTTCATGCAGGTGGCTTCGATATCCATTCATATCTCTTGAAGTAATTCGTACGAACGTAACAGCGACCAAAGATAAGCCCAGAAAATTGATATGGTTTTTTTACACTTGTCCGATGCTAGGAAAGCTTCTATTTCCCGTAGTGCCCGTATGAAGTCCTGAGAATGGCAGTGAAAGAGAATACATACATACGCAATGGAGCTTCGAAGAAGGCTGGGTGGTAACTAGCCTATCGCTCAATTAGTAAATCAGTTTCTGACAATGATTAATTTGAATTGCAAATGTACTGTGACGCGGAACGGTTATCCTCGATGGATTGCAATATCTGCCGTCCGGGTGAATAAACTGTAGTAATTTATGTTGGAGGATAAGATGGAAGTGGTAATCGATGTCACTGTCCAATCCGGAGACAAATACGGATATGATGTGGGCACCAAGGCACTATACCGATTTGAGTGAGAGCCATGGCATTCCCGAGATCGTCTTCTTGGAAAAGCAAGGGGAAATGTTCCGTATAGAATCATTAGGTTTGATGTGTACTTCTGATAGGTGTGTATAACGTCCTACAAAGCTGAACCAGCATCTGTAACCTAATTCAAGGCTCAAAATATACGATTGATGCGTACGAGGTAACACATACGCAATACAGAGAATGAGTTGATTGGACATGACATCATGGTCTCATTATCATCTAACTCGTCGTTGGTACAATTGGCTGTAGTCAGCAGATAGGGAATCGTTGCTTGTGTTGCAAAGTATGCAGACACATAGGTGTCTCAGCTCCAGAACGGACTAAAGTCTTTCATCTGATCGAGTACTTGCTGTCTCCCTTCAGCTTCAGGCCCGGTGCGAGGTACACTGATTTGCATATTAGCTTCATCCAATCCCACAATTGTAGCATATATCAAATTTTATCCAGCCTCCTCTTCAGCTCGAAGACTGATTGCCTGTCGAGTGCCATAAAAATGGACAAATCAGATTTTGAAAAATGATAGGTGAAGACGTAGACTGCCATGAGGAAGGACCGGAGAGGGCTTGAACGTACTTGACCTCACGTAGTTGATCATTGGCAAGATCAAGGATGTATCCAATGATGGATATATCATTCTGAACATACGGTGAGGCTTTGAGCCCTTGAATATCTGACCGGACATTGTTTTCCACTTCACCGGGCGACCAAGGACAACCTGGGTAATCATTGATTAGACAAGCTTCAATAAAATCGAGATAAATACATACTAGTATGCTGAACAACAATAATCATGTCAATCTTAACCGACTGGGCTACCTGATAGATACTGTTGATAGCTCCTTCTGTGCGTCCTCCAGCCGTTCTGATAACCCGTGTAGTACTGGTGTTGAGATTGAAGTGGCGTGCCGGGTCAACCATTGGATTGGCCTCGTTGCATGTAACTGAGATTGTTACAAATGTATCTGAAGCAACTGTTTTTTAAGGGGCAGCGATACGACTCACTGACTACGAGAGTTCCTGGCATAAACATGACTGTTATGTGAATAGCGGGTGATATGTTTTTTGAGAAATAACGTAACTTGATTCCGGCGGCAGTGGGAATTCAGTGACGATATATGCTTCGATGTTGTGATGATATCAAGAGAAGGGCTCGTCTCAATTTTCGGCCTAGCCGAAATGATTGCCGGGCGTCTTTCTTACACATCCACAAAAAGTGTCCCTAATGGGATCATTCCTGTTGTGGGATGTCCTACCTTTTACTGCGTCTCTACCCTGCCCTATGCCTCGATATGTTATCACTCCCTGGGTCTGGTTGCATGTTACTAACCCTTTCCGACTCCACCCATGAACAGGGATGTTTGGCCATGGCGCATGGCAAGTTGCGGAGAGAACAAGGCCTGAATGATCATAAAACCCAGTGAGAGTTATCGGGAGCAAGTGGCTCTCTGGTGTGTTGGTAGTAAATTGCTCGATTGCGCTAGAAGCCTTAGCATAGAAGGTGGAGACTGGAGATCGGCCGATGCATTAGTGTCACAGCTAAACATGCCAATAATAACCATTCATCTTGGCGCGATTCAGCCATAACTATGAGGTTGTTGTAGAGCGGATAGTGATGGAGTCTCATGGAGGAGGAATAGCCTTATCCAGTGGCGTATGTTGGCAAACTCCATTGGTATGTTTGTTCTCGGTGTACCGAGCTCGGCTCCGAGTAGTTCGGGAGAAAGGCATAACATGCAAGCCACCGATCGTGCAGCTACGAGTGCCATCACTGCTTCTCAAGTCAGCATACCAAGGGACGAATTTATAATCAAGTGTGCTTTTGCCTCATGTTACCTAGTCAGGTACAGCTCGAGTACGGTAAGCAAGCCCATCCATGCGTAGCACTCGACGTCACAGCCACATTGAGTGAAGAATCGTTCCGTTAGTCTGCACTTTGGGCAAGTATAGTGATCAGAAGTAGACTAGAGTTTCTGCTGTGAAATTTCTTGGCTTTGTGAGACAATTTCGAAGCACGAGCAGCATGTCGAACGGGGGTCGAAAAAGGTGCAGCATCCTCGCATATTGGCATATAGGTAGCCAACTGGTTATGGTGGGGTGCATGACGAGATCTTGGCAGCGCGTTCAATGTACACTACATGTGTGCTTCATCGCCTCGTACGAAGGCTGTGCGATGGAAGACAAGGGTCGACTTTTGCTGAACCGAGGAACAGCCAGTAAAATGACAGATTACTGAACACAAAGCAAGGTGCAACCATCATGACTGCCCTGTGCACGCAATGTGCCGCCTGTATGCCGTCGTGCCGCTTCTGCATCATGCGGCCCACTACGCGAGAAGGGGAGCGGCATGGCCCGGGTAGTAGGCCGAGCTAACATAACATAAGCTGAGATCCGATTAGTAACCTTACGCTCAGGAATATACACAATGACGTTTAAGAATGCAAAATTCGGCCCGGCAGTACGAGAAAGTCGCATCTTCGAGATTAGAAGACGCAAGTGGCCAAGTCATGATACGTCGTTCTTGTTGCCTACGTATGAGATCTTTGTAAATTTTGAGTCTATGATAGCTCCATTCACTAGTTACCACTCATGACAGTACCTGGACATTTTTGGAGGCATCCAGACAGAAGGAGAATGCTTGATTCTTGGCCATATGCCGAAACTGGGCATTGGTTAGGGCTTCCAGTGGCAACTAGGCAACGAAAAGCACGTCAGATCCAAGCGACGCAGCACTTGGCGTGGCAAGGTAACTTGCAGGAAATGCGTCTCGTGCTAGCTTGAAATCTCAAGACAATCTTTCCACGCTATACTACACGTAGGATCAAGGCTGTAAACTGCAAGTGGTCGTGATGACGTGGCTATAGGGAATACCAGAAAGTATAGTCCAAGTGGCTCGCGACTGAGTTGACTATTGGCTGTCGGGTTCAATCATATAAGACAGTAGCGCAAGCGCGTGCATATTTCAAAGGTGAAAAAGGGGTATCGGAACTTTGAATGAGTTGATTCATAGTGGTTGGTAAAAATTTCTGTAGTTGAACAAAGTGCCCAATGTGGGTTCTGATGGATATTATGGTCCCAAATCCTTTGCATGTAGCCAAACTGCAAGGCTGGCCCTTGTGTCTTGTTCCAATGGCTCTTCAAGAGTGAACAACCTCCTGTCATTCGGTCGTACTTGTGGCTCCTCCAGTACTGCTAGGATAATGCGGTGGTTGGGTGTGTTGGGAGCGCTGGGAGCGTTGGGAGCGTTGACTCAGACTCCTTGATAAGGTTGGAAGTGGAATCTCCACATCGATAGTTGGGGCTCTTGACTTGGGCTGATATGGTGGTGGTGCATCGCCATTTTGATCTAGGCCCTCACTCTGGCGGCTAAGAAATGAGCTGCTGGCTTCGTAAATACCGTACATGAATCTCCGAGGTTGAGACCACGTTTGGATATCCCTTGCTGGTGGCTGCTCGCTGTCTTGCCCACAAAACTCTCTTCTATAATTTGTACGTCGATGCAAGTACCATAGCAAGAAAGCGACCATCACAACAAGCACGCCGATGAGGAGGAAGTAGTATTTGAAGGCACTGACTTCGTGTGGCGTTTCGTCCTCGAACACTTGCCTGGTGGCTATGACCATGCGAGGAAGCAAGGGCATTATGTTGATGAATGCCACAATGGAAGTGAAACCGAGGAGTTTGCCCTTGGATAGCTCAGAAAGGGAAGGATGAACGAAACGACGACAGAAGGAACAGAGACGTCCAGCAGGAGCAGAAATATGAAAACACTGCCGTCAAGAGGGTGAGGCCAGAGCAGAGAAAAGGGAATAGGACATGGCGAAAGGTAGGGTAGTGCTCGTGTCTTTATTTCTGGCAACATGTTTCAGGATCACCGCGAACAGCCATTTCCTTCTGCGATAGCTGAGTGCCGAAGAAGCAAGTAGTGAGCGGCAACGCTACTTTGGAGCCGAGGAGTAGGTGCGAAGCACAAAGAAGTGCCATCGATGCGTTGATTCATCGCGGAAAGAGGTTCTTCACATTGTATGAGTGAGAAAGGGAACTGAAGGCCGACGGGGCAAGGTTGGGGATGGCGTTGTGATCACTCGCAGCTGGCGTGCAGCGAACACCCTTAGAATGTTAGCGCGCTGATCATTGCAGATTTCGCCAAGCAATCGCGCCAGCCGCTCCTGCCTTTGATTGCTCGCACCCTGTTGTCCAGTTAGTTACTACATACACAGCCGGCCCCCCACAAACATCCTCTACACCATCTTTGAAATGGTCAAAGCCATCAGAGGTATTGCTTCTGTCCAAGTCACACCCCCTTTCGCTTTGCTAAACGCCCTAGGAACGCTCGTCAAGTGCGATGCTTCCATCAAAGCCATGCTGGTAGACATTGACAGCAAAAACAATAACGAATACATCATCGAGGAACTTGACGAGGAGCACATCCTTGTTAAGGAGACCAAAATTAACGAGCTCAAGGCCCGATTGAACCAGGTGCGCATCACGATGCAAGACGACACGCGCATTGCTGACAATTACAGATGATGAGGGAACGCTTAAAGGAACCAGAGAGTTCAGACTCTGAATAGAGTTTGTAGATTCGATACTTGGACTGGCGCTCGCAGCCGACTCCGACTCTGCAATCGTCCGTCTTCCTCGTTGCCGCTCGTCGCCGTTCGATCCGTACACCTGATTTCCAACTGTCCTTGTCTATAAACAAACGCCACAACGCTCAAGCCATGGTTTACTTTTGAGCGGCGCCCTCTTGAGTGCCAACCCACTTGGGCCTGTTCTTGGTGAACAACTCCATCTTGGTGCTGAAGTTATCAAGGATGCTATGATCGTCTAGAGTTCCCACCTGTTCACCACTTAGCAGGGCCGGCCAGCCATATATACGAGTGGACATACCTTGATGATCATCTTGCCAGTATAGCTGTCGCTTTCTCGCCACATGGTGGAGCCGCAGTCACCACTGTATAACATTAGAAGCTACATGTACAGTCTGCGCTGTTACGAACCAGAAGAAGGATGTAATATTGTTCCCGCTATCCGCTGTCTTCTTGTGTTCCTTTGGAGTTCCCTGGAGGATCTTGAATCCATCCTTGCTGTGGAGGGCGTTGGTCGAATAGGTCGTTCCGGAGATTTTACGGCAATCATAACAATGGCAAAGGATCTGTACTTCCTTTTAGCCTCGTCTAATCTTGTAGGAAGTACCACTTACCTGGGCCTCCATGTCGCCCTGCACCTCATAGCGGACGTTGCCGCACATACATCCTCCAGTAGGCATGTTGACTGTGATGCGGGGTAAAACTTGATGTGGATACTTTTGGGTTGAGTCAAGCGAAGGAGATGATAAACATAGGTGTCTGGACTGTTGTCATGTATCCCGAGGTTTTTATACTGGCCTAAGGCGTCTACCCCGCTGTCTCGATGATCAACCGGTCAAGGGTCATAAGCCTTCCGTGTTGTCCACCGCTAGCTCCAGCGCTAGACAGTTACTTTCAGACCCTCCGCCTCGCTTCAATGGGTCGCCCATGTCCCGTACAAGCATCAGTCACGGAACATCGACATAAGCACCTATCAAGCTTCACTTTTTCCAATTCTCCGCAGAGTATCATTTGCTCAGCTTACTGGGTCCTGATTAAGGCGGGACAGAAGCGGTGCTTCCCTGCTCCTGCTCCAAGCCGAGGCGTAAATCCAGGTTGTGTCTTTAGAATAGATCCACATCTCACAGGTTGGCATTCATAGAACACATGATTTGTGCATGGTTAGAAAATTCGGCACAGATAATATAGACTGCCAGATGTTTGAATACTGGTAGACCAATTATGTGACTGGACAACGAATACAGTGCATATCTGCTATGACGTGGGATGGGCCTGAAAGTTGTGGAGCGCGGGGTTTCCCTAATGCGGTTACTGCCGAACTGGAGCACGTGAAGTCGAGACAATTTGGCGTTTGCATGTGCCCACTGCTTGAGCACCGACGTGCGCGTTCTGCGTAATGTCATGGACTTGTTTACTTGCACGAGCACCTTGCACAACCCTTGGTCTACCACTTGCTCGACATGGCGACGGGCTCACCCAATGTTTGGACACAAATGAATTACGTCCCTCCGCGCGGCCAATGTAACCACAAACCATCTTTACTCGCGGCAAGATGTCCTTGCTTGCGCTTCATGTTGCATCCGCTCAAGGTATGCAACCTCTACCGACATCACATCTAGTTTAGAGTCGAAGCGCATTTTGCATGTACTCACAAATGTGCAGTCATCATCCTCATATGAATGCGACGGATGTGGACACCATGCCTCATTCCACAGTATGGAGAATAAAACAGAAGACGAGATCCGCAAGCGTTGGGAAACCGAAGCCAAGGAAAGGGCCCAGCAGAGCGATGAGGCACAGCAGCGACCGAAGAAGCGCGTGCGTGCCATCGAATACAACAAGGAGGACGATGAGGAGGACATAAACCAGGCCATCACTGAGCTGTTGCAGGGGGCAAAATCAAGGCCCAAGGCCAGTGCCGTTCCGAGAAAGAAACCTGGAAGGGTTGCCGGGGCCAAGGCGAAACAGAAGCTGAGCGAGATTCTGGACGATAATACAGTTGTAGAGCTGGACTGAAGCGTTTTGAAGGGCCATGAAAGGACACGAGCATTGGGTCGGCGTTTTGGTTATAGTCTTGACGTTGCGATATGATACCCACACTAAGATATTTCTGCTTTTTGTAAACATCTTGTTGAATTCATAGAAGCGAAGGCACTTTTGTCTATCTGAATGCTTGTTACTTGTGGTGGGAGGGCATGTTGACCATCCAACCGCGGTTCACACTGTGCCAAGACCTAGCTCACACGCGCACCATCTCGTCCTGCACCCGTCCTTCTCCTACCCCACCACAATTGCTCCCAACCTTGCATCACAACATGTTCGTTTGACATCCAATACCCTCATAGAATTTCGGCCATATCTGGCCTAAGAGGCGTTCAGAAAGCCCTGTGCAATACGTCAGCTTTACCTGGTGTACCAACTGCATCTTAGCTATACAATACCTACAATTGCGGCCTGCGACCCGCTGCATTGTGCTTTCAATCCAACTAGCTACCCATAATCTCAGCACACGTTGCAAAAATGGCGACACCCACGCCCTCCAAAGACAAGGAGACGCCTTCCAAGAACCCCAACGCCTTCTCCCCTGCACCGCGCAGCGTTCCACCTACCGGAAACATCCACATGATGTCCTACGACTCGCCTGCGGTACTGAACATGCTCAACGATGTTGCGAGCTCGGGTATGGGAGGCGTCGGCATGGGCATAAGCATGAGTGGACTAGGCATGTCTAATCTGGGCATGACAGCAAGTGCAACAGGGCGCGCAGACGAGGCAGAGAGGAGTCGGAGGCTCCGAGAGATAATAGATATTATAGGGAAGAAGCCAGGGCGCGTCAGTGAAGAAGGTCTGCTTGCGCTGTGTGACCGAATAGGCATATCGTATGAAAAGCATATGGACGATGCAGGTACATGGAGTCTTTTAATTGGCGACGAGGCCCTTTGCGACGTCACCTTCAAGAACGATGAGATCGTCAGTGTGAATTTACAGACCGGGCTAGACGACTCGAGACCCGACTTGAACTTTGGAGCTGCAGGGTCAGAGATTTTGGTGAGAAGTCTGAGACCCCTTCCAGGCCAAAGCAAGTTCAATGTCACGCTTGAGCGCTTCTCAGAAAACTTGGAGAAACTTTTGGCACTTGACAAGTTGGGCTCCTCGCAGAACGGAGGTATTAGTTGCTACAACGCGATTGCGGGCATCTACACGAGCCTTCGGAAGCTGTTCGACCATGAGAAGAAGCTTGAGCTTGCAAAACGGGCACCAGACGAGCGGTACAGGATATACAAGGCAGAGCGGGAGGTACTATGCAAGAAGAGCGGGAGGCCTCGGTTTAATGGCGGATCGTGTCTTGGGCTAAGTCTAGAATACTGGATGGACTCGCGGTGGGTGATTCCAAAGACTGCGCCGGAAGTACAGGAAAAAGGCAAAGAAAAGATGGATGCCAGCTCGCAAGAATCCCCTTCATATCCCGAAGACGACTACTGGAGTAACAATAAGATGTACTCGCTGACTATCGAGTGCGAAGCGTCGCCCTCAGCTCTCTATACCCCCATCCGCATATCGAACGAATGGATCAGCGACCAGGTCGAAAAGTCCATGGATAGCAATGATGCCAGCCACCTGGAAAACATACTCATGAATACGTCTTCTATAGACTGGCTTGAACCAAAACCGACATATCTCGAGGCGCCAGAGCAAACCGATGATGCCATGAACCTCGACTCCGCTGCAGGAAGATTACCAAATGTACGATTCGTTGCGAAATTCAACCCGCCGCTCGTCGTACCTTATGCTGTTCATATGCAACTCTACCAAACAGTCGGTATCGAGCCTCGCAATGATGATCTACGACCAACCACATTTGTTGGGCTTGCGCTGAGGCCTGGAGAAGTCGACCCTGGTATGTCTGGTGCAACTGGCGAGTCTACACATGAGATTCGCAGCTCGCACCTGGCACTCTCAAAAGACATTAATGGCAACTACGAACAACATCGTCACAACATGAGTCTCTACGTACCAAAGCTAGAGTACAGCCGTACCCTCGAGAGTCTCCCATTCAGCCATCCCAAACAACTCGTAGAAATCCTGCCAGTTCTGCGACAATACGCACACGTCACCACGCTCCTCCGCAAAAGCTTCTACGAAGCACCACAAAAGCCAATCCCAACACACAAACTGGGCCAACCGCAGACCCCCAAACCAAAGACGGGCTCATCAGAAAACTACCCAACCCTCCAACTCGACGTAACACTAAACTACACACCCCCAATCCCACGCATAACCCTTCAAGTCCCCCACCCGTTATCCAGAGCCCCCCCAAACCCCCCAGAAACCACTGCAGACGCAATCTCCAACCTCCTCTCTGACCTCCTCACCCCCAAGGACCAACCCCCAGAACCCCATCACGCGCCCCTAGCTGTAACCATTGACGTGCACGCAAACGGCGATCTCCTTGTCTCTGAGCAAAACATAGTTTCTTCGCCTGCTCCCACGCTGAAACGCGAGTCAGAGGTGCACATGCAGCACGAGGATGAAGATGGGGCGCAGGAAATGGTGGCGCATCAGGAGAGAGTCAAGAGGCTGGCGAGTGGATTGGATGTAGCTGGGGAGTTGGGAGTTTGGGGTGAGTGGCTGAGGAGGGAGGTTGTGAAAGAGGAGAGGGCTTAGAAGGCTTTTTTCGATGAGGCTTTTTTATGAAAAGATGTACGTGCGAAGTTGTCGAGTAGCTTTCTGGGAAGAGTGGGAGGGGCTTGAGATGATGGGTAGTAGGTACTGTTGTTTGGGTATGCATGAGGCCATATCATTACTTGGACACGATGAGCAAATTAGTCATAAGAGAACTTCATGAAATAATCAAGAGAGACTCTCTCCCCAAGTAGCTAAAATGCAATAGTCAAAATCATCTTCATTAAATCATTGCATGTCATGCAACTCAACAGGTTCCCACAACACAGGTCATGATATACCCTATCTATATAGATATACCTTGGCACCAAAACATGTCATCATTCGACAAAACACCAAAGTCGATAAAATTTCTACAAGGCCAAGTCCAGCCAGACAAACCAGTCCATTTCCATGAACAAGCGCGGCAACATGTCAAACCCAAAGTGGTCTAAAGCGCGAAATAAATTTGGGGGTATGGGGGGGAAAAAAGAGAACCGAACATAATAACAAGAAAAGCTTCTTATGGCTTGTTGACCTCGATGACCATCTCGGTCTCGACAGATTCGGCCTTCTTGGCGAACCTGGCAATGTCGGCACCCTCGACCTTGCCGTACATGGTCTCGGCGATTATGCCGGTGATCTGGTATGGGTCACCGTTGGAGGCGGGGCGACGGTCCTCAAAGTATCCCTTGCCCTCGGCGGCGACGGCACGGGGAATACGGACAGAGGAGCCACGGTTGGCAACACCCCAGGTGAACTTGTCGTATGAGGCAGTCTCGTGCTTGCCAGTCATGCGGAGCTGGTTGTCCTGACCGTAGACGGCCATGTGCTCGGCTTGGCGAGTGGAGAGCTTCTCCATGGCGGCCTCAATGGCCTTCATGCCGTTCTCACCACGGGTGTCAACGGTAGAAACGTTGGTGTGGAGACCGGCACCGTTCCAGTCACCAGGGATGGGCTTGGGCGCAAAGGTAACCTTGACACCAAACTCCTCAGCAACGCGGTGGAGAAGGAAGCGCGACATCCAGAGCTGGTCACCGAGGGCAATGCCGGGGCAGGGGCCAACTTGGTACTCCCATTGGGCGGGCATAACCTCGGCATTGGTGCCGGAGATGTTGATCTCGGCGTACATGCAGGCCTTGTAGTGGGCCTCGACGATGTCACGGCAAAAGACCTTGCCAGTACCGACACCACAGTAGTAAGGACCCTGGGGGGCGGGGAAACCGTTCTTGGGCCAGCCATATGGCCAGCCAAACTCGTCGAGAAGGGTGTACTCCTGCTCGAGACCGAACCAGAAGTCGGCCTCCTTGTGCTTCTCAAAGATTATGGCAGCATCGTGGCGGAAGTTGTATGCGTTGGGGGTGCCATCGGACATGTAGGTCTCGCACATGACAAGGACGTTGTCTCCCCGACGGAAGGGGTCGGGGAAGTAGGCAACCGGGCGGAGGTAGACATCGGAGTTCTCGCCGGGCGCCTGACCAGTTGAGGAACCGTCAAAGTTCCATTCTGGGAGGTCGTCAAGGCTCTCGACCTTCTTCTTCAGGGTCTGCAACTGATGTCAGGATACATGCGCCTGGTCGAACTGGGCTGCAAGGGCAAGGGTAGTGAGTGGGGGGAAGTGGAGGGGTAGACGTCAGAAGTTGTGCAGGTCCTGCCGCGCGCAATCTGTGGCTGGTGGATGGCTTATCGTGGGGTCGCGATAAGGAACGCCATTTATGCCTGTTGCGACAGCGATTGGCGCAGGGTACGTCACACAAGCAGAGCACCACGATCGTGACTCTGCCGGTTGTGAACCGCCAAGTGGATCGCAGCCAGTGATTCTCCCGAGGCTGAAAGCCTGCAAGCTGCACACTAGGCTGCATCGCGATCGCGGGCTGCAGACAAATGCCGCAAACCATGATCGGTTGAGGGAAATGGAAGAGGTGAAGACAAAAAAAAAAGAAAGAACTGACCTTGGACTTGGAGCGAATGCCGTTGGAGCCGTCTATCCAGACATACTCGGCCATGACATTGCCCTTTTGGGGGAGGTCAAGGTACTTCTGTAGCTGTTGTAGAATGTTAGAACGAGCTCGAGTGAGAGCAGACGAGAGCACGCGAGCAGGTTTCAACGTACGTTGGCAGCATTGGAGATGATTGTGGAGTTCGCCTGTAGCATGTGTGAGTAACAGCAGGATAAACAAAGGGCCCAGGGTAGAAGCATACCATGACTGCGGTTTGTATGTGCGTAGTAGGGGAAAAAAGGAGAACAAACTTGAAGAGGGAGGAACAAGGAAACGATGTTTTCCAGGAGAAGAAGGGCGTGGAGGAGGGGTTATATGGTGGAAGTGGGGAGAGTGAATGGGGAAGAGAGATAAGGATAGCGGGCTGAGGGTTCAGTTATAAGGTAAGTGTCGTGGAATGGGTTGACTGTCTCGGCATGTGGCGGGGCTAGGTGTGGTCAGATAGTAACTAGGTTGGCCGTAGCCAAGAGCCGTCGCCGGACTGTATCCGTGGGATGAGGAAGCAATCCGTTTCTCTAATGCGCAACCACAGGGCCGCACACCCAGCATGCTGAGCCCACGCCCGGCCGTGGAGCATCCGCTTACGCCGGGGCGCCGCCCGGCTGGAACACTTGCAGGGCCCTGCCAGCCACACATACGCACACAATGTTTATTGCGCTCTGGGATGCAAACGCGACGGGCAACACAGCGTAGGGCCGTCTGGAGAGCTTGGAGAGGTTTGCTGATGGGCGCGGCGTCTGTACACGAGCGGTTTCGGTTTGGCGCGGCGCTCGGAACGCACAGCCTCAGGCGGTTCCGAGTTTGACCGCGGCGGAGGTGGAAACCGTCGCCTCAGTGTAGCTAAATTTACCCGCTCAACGCCAGCTTGTTGGTCATGGCAGACCACCGGGGCCCAAACCAGAGCATTTGCATTGCACACACCGCTCCACCTGTGCTGTTGTTTTTGGCCGTCCGCCATCGGATCCCTCGAGGAAATCGTCGACGCCGCCAGCCCAACACGAGCAGCGCCGTCCCTGCGTGCAGACGTCTCGCGACACCTGCATATGCTGCTTCTTGCTGCTGGCCAGGGCCCCGTTGCCTCTGCCCGGCACTGACGTCGCGGGGGCGATAAGAAGCCCGCCCGCCAATCGCTGCGGTTACAGTTACTGTGCCTCGTCATGCCAGCATCACTAAACTCTCTGCCGCGACGTTTCTTGTAGTCAAGTTAATCGTTTCTTGCGCCCGGCTGGCCGCGCTGTGTCCTGGGTGCTGGACGTGCACTGTTCCAGAAGCCCACTGCTTAGACTACCATGTTCGTACGGTTCAATGGCTCGCTGCTCATTGGGCCCGCCTCTCCTCCAGGCACAGACTGAGATATTTCCATGCCAACCCCACAGATTCTCCTGCAGCCCACTCTTTGCGATACAGTCAGAAAGTCAGCTCCACGCCGCCGTCGCCCACCCCCCGTGAATTGCAATGCCCAAAAACCGAATCCGATTCCAAACCCACCTCTGCCTCAACCCTCTCCTTCACCCACCCGCACCCCACGTGCGCCATTAATCAACCCCGTCCACCGCGACCATTTGTCCCGACGCAGGCAAAAAAAGCCGCATCGCCATATCGGCACCACTATCTAGTCTGCACGACGTTGGGCCTGGCGGGGTTGCGGGCGTGCCGTCGATCTGCCAAGCCCCACGCCCCTGGCCCGAAAGATAAGGGGAAAAATGGTTTTCCGACTTTACGTCAGGCTATCGAGTAACGCCGCCGGCCTCGTTGACTGACATGTGGCAGCGACACAACACCTATCGTGAACATGCCCACATTGTATGCAAAATCGGTTTTGCTCCTCAAAAGACTGATATAAAAGTCGCCATCCGCCTGGCTTTGGCCTTGCACATCAGCGACCGGTGGTGTGGCCGTGTCATGTCCGCTTTAGGCAAAGCTGCGGGCCCTTCCAGTACATGGAAGGGGTTCCAAAAGGCTTGCATCTTCCCCAGATTATACTTAGATAGCTGCTGATCAAGTCAAGGAGCAGCCGCTGTGGGTGTATGGTTCGCAGCGACCCTTATCAGATGGGGCGCATGGTGCTGGGCAAGCGCTGGCACGTGTGGCCTTCACCGATAGGAAACCAACACCATCCGGGGGTCAAGAAGAGACATATCCGGGCATGGTATCTAGTAGACAATGCCTGGCATGAGCACATCATGGTTTCGTCATGGCCTCGACACCAATCTGATTCCTCAATGAGCCCTTGCACTCTCCTGCCCTGTTGTGTCTGCTGCGACACCCATCATGCATACCCAGACACCAACTTTGCACGGCCCCCTTCACTTCCCGCTCTAGGTCATGACTTGCAGCACCACCCTCTGCCTCTGGTTGGGTGTCGAGAGCGGCTGTACCTGCAGCAGGCAATAGACCATGCTGAACGAGAGGGTCGGGGCAAGACGGGAACGACCAAGGATACGACCGACTTTCGGAAGCCGGCTAGGTTTAGGGACCGGCGCCAGTGGCATGGTGCATGGCAGATCTGGGGTAGACTTTGTTGGGGTGTTTGGTGTTGCTCGCAAGTGCGTCGACGTAGTGTATATGTCCCATTCCTCGAGGCCCTCGGCTCGAACCAATCACAGCCACCAACTGTTCCACAACAAGTCAACAAAACGTGTCTGGATATTTATCTAACCCACATATAAGACAACCAGAAACCTTACATTTATTTTCTGGTGTCGGGAGACTCTGGTAGTGGTTGTCTTGGCAAGGGCGGGACAAGCCCTCGCCCGCACAAGTCCCGCGCGACGCCGGCAGAGGTGAGACTTGTGCCAGAGAAACAATGAAGCCTGACGACTGTTTAGTTTTCACAATGGTACCTGTTCGAGATTGTCGACGCGGCACAAGTTCCGCTGCCGCCTGTACCAGTCCCAAACACGATGGCCCGACGGGGGGCAGACGGGATGGAAAATTATTGGTGACAATACGATTATGAAGGCACAAGCAAGCAGTATGGTAGGTCTTAGCCTTGGTCAACGGAGTCTCATACGGGTGTTGTTTGCATGTTTGTTTACTGTAAGCTAGCACATATATGCCTGGAAAACGGTCAGCAATGACTCCAAGATATCCAGCAGAGAAACTAAATCCTAACCTGCTATCGGAAGCGCCTCACCAGACAGCCACACATGTGCTACGTTGAGCACGTCTATCACCGGCCGTGCCGCCACTGGGGGCGCGATCAGTTTGTTGGCGACCCGTGCTGCAGGTCTCGGTTTGCCAACGGCCATCCTATAGCCTGCACCTATGCCGAGAAGATGGGGTCGGTTAACAGCAATGAGCTTTGCCCGGACTGCAGATACCGGCTAGCCAGTGGTGGGGCATCGCGACCGTTTGCTGGTGTTGCTGCGGTCCCGCAGGCTAGGATCGACGAGAAGCTGTACGGAAAGCTGGATGGAACATGAAGCCGCCACTGCAAAACTTATCGAATAACGGGAATGGCTTCTCTCAGCTTGAATAATGGTGCTCTGCATCTCCCGCCAGACAGCCTCGGATCTCTCTGGCTAAACGCTCCGTGCTGGTGCTTCTTGAAGAAGTAAATGGGCATGGATCCATCATCTTGATACACACTCGGCAGACCGAGACGAGGAAGAGCAACAAGAGTGTGGAGAAGGTGGCACAGACACTGAGAAGGGCAAAAATCGAGGATATATACTGGAAGAGGTTCAAGTCGAATGTCACGAAGTCGTAGCAAGGTGAGGGGACAGGGCTTGGCATATGGGGAGTGGCCAATCAGAGGCTGCCATGAGGTAACAGCAACTCGATGCTCTTTCCTTTGGGGAACAGCGCGGTAGTTGGCCATCAATAATGAGGCCGATGGTCATGGGGTTGGTCGAATATAGTATTAGAGACATGTATGCATGTTGTTGTTCAAATGCGGGGTCTGCATCGTCTCTCCTCAGTTGTCGTGATGTTCACTGTTTGTTGTCGCATGGTGGACATGGAACACGCCTTCGCCATTTTTTGCACGTGACATACACACACGTGCTGTTCAGTACAAGTGACCCAGGACAACGAGTGGGAGCCCGTTGGGCCTCGTAGTAGTTTTATCTTGTTTCCTGGCTCGACCGTTGACACCAACAAGCCAACGGGCAGTAGACAGCTTACTGTAGCGAATCCGCCGTCTGTCTTGCATTCAGCTGGTAGGCAAAGTATGGTACAGAGAGTAGCTGAGTGACGTATGGTCTGCCAAAAAGAGACAATATACTACAAACATACTTCGGGGTCAAACAATAAGGCGCCCAACTCAGTCATGGGCAAACGGCAGAGGGACCGTCGCAATGGTGTCCAGCACCGGCCATTGGCACACATGCGCCATATGTCTACAGGTGATTTGACTTGTTCGACGAGCCCCTGAGATTAGCGAATACGGTGCGATGACTCGGATATGTACAGGCTCCTAACCAAGTCGCTGGGTCAGACGGGCTGCGTCGTCGAGGTAACAAGGCAATTGGGGCGTACGCACGAGTTTTGCATGCGCTCACAGACAGACATTGGCAGCGTGTGTCGGGACCGAACGTGGTGGTGGACTAGGGGGAGGAAAGCTGCAGGTACAGCGAAGGGTCGGAAATTTGCCGGATGGTGCGACAAGTCCACATGCACATGCGCAGCTGGATACTTGGCCCTGATGCGCTGCGGCTGTACTGCGGCGTTCTCCAAGCAGCCAGGCCGTCGAAATGGGCATTGCCTGACCCGGCCGAGCGCAGAGAGCAGCGATAGAATATGGCAATAAAGTACGAATGCCATAGTCGTGTCCAAGGGGGAAACAGGTCAGATCTAGTAGATGCACTAAGTAGATGCAGTAAGGACTTCTCAGAGCACGGCCGATGCGGCTAGGCGTGGGCCATGCAGGGATGCGCGAGCGTTCTCTTCTAAGTACGTATACGACGTACCGCCTAACAACGGTGACATGGCGCCATTGCAACATGGACGCAGCTACAGCACACGGACTCGTGTGGTTGATCATGCAACACGGCCTCGCCATTGTTGCTCGTCCTCGTCTTTGTCTGTCCGTGAGGCCGAGACCACGATTCAGGCGTGGGAGCTACGAGAGAGACAAAGGTGATCGTGGTTCGGTACCAGCGGTGCCCGCTAAGGGCCCAGCCTAGCGAACACCACGATCGCCGTCTGGGATCCCTATCACGAGCCGGAACAAGCCCCCCGGACTAGACGCTTTATCTGATACTGTCCAATCTCCCCCTCCCTTCCACTGCCTCGTCTCCCTTCTCGTCCTGCCATCCGCCTCTCTGAGCATTGACGAGGCTTGCCTGCCGCCATGAAGCGCTGACGGCCTCTCTCTGCATCGTCATACGTCTAAACCTGCACCCTCTTCCTAGCGTCACCCCGACACTTTTCTTCCTCGACCCGCGCCACAGCCAGGGTCGCGGGCGAAAACACCTTCCGAAGACCCTTTCCCACCCAATTGCCCGCTGCCCGCACCTCTGACGACCTTTTCTTTTGTGTTTCGCAGCGACGTGCTGCAGACGCCTGACTGCGCTATGCATAGACATACAATGTCCGAGACGGCCGCCATGCCGTCGTCGCGCTCCAGCAGAACACACAGCTTCAGCAGCGAGCGCTCTCCTTCCCTGTGCAGCTCCGTCACCTTCCAGATGCCCACCACCGTCAGACCTCCGCCCGCCTACATTGCTGCATCCGTAGCTTCGCAAACCGTTACCGACCACCAGAATGCCCAGCTACGCGACGAAGATGCAGACAACGACGAGCTGCAAAACGCCATCTTCTCCGAGCAGGCATTGGCCCTCCTCAATGGCTTTCTCGACCATCTTCTCTTCGCCTTTCTCTCTTCTGCCAAAGCACCGTCTCTGACAGCCATCCGACCAGCTATACTCGATGTCCTCAAGCCGCGCCTTGCCCGCGAGGCCATGGAATACGCCGACGAGGAGCTACAGGGCTTGCTGGCTGCCGAGGATGATGATGAGTCGCCTACACAAAACGACAAGGTCAATGGCGCATGGGATGTAGAAAAGGTGTGGAAGCGCACTCGCCTGCGCATCATGGTCTACACACGCTTGGGTGAATTGGAGGATGAAGACGAGGAAAGGTATGTCCAGCAAGAGCGCGGGCTCAGCATGGACGAGGACGAGGATGATGAAGCTGGCCTGGTGTCATGGGCAGCTGCCATCTTCCTGACCTCGGTCATGGAGTTCATCGCTGAACAGCTGCTCCTTGTCTCTGGATCCGCAGCTTTTGCGCGCATGGAGTCGCGGATACAGAAGCTGTCTCAGCAAATGGAGCAACACGAAGAACAGCCTATAATCGAACGCCTGACCATAGAGGAGCCTGATGTAGAGAAGATTGCACTCAATTCTGCTTTGGGAAGGCTTTGGAGGACGTGGAAGAAACGTGTGCGATCTCCTATTATGCCCCTTACTCCCATACGACGAATGCGCTCCACCTCAAGCTACACGAGCTTGCCCATGCGAAAGCCAAGCCGTGACACAATCAACACGGTGCATAGCGGTCACGAGCACCTGCCCGAGCACCAACCTACTGAGACGGAAATTGCAGCCAACATACCTCTTCCAATTGGCAGCAATGACATCAATGAAATTGAAGTGCCTGGATTGGCACCCACATATGAGGACGAGGACGAAAATACAGGCAATGCACCATACTCACAAGGACGGCGACCTTCGAGTGCTATGATTTCCTCTTCAGTCATTCCGACCAAGAAGAGTAGGAAAGCGCGTCCTGTTTCTCTGCCCCTTTCGCAGTTACCAGCATTCGTTGTTCCTACAGAGCCTGTTGATGAAGATGAGCAATCCATTCATACTTCAATTGAAAGCGAGCCAGCCGATGATGGAATTCACGACGACTCGTCTAAGCACCAACACTCGGTGCCATCTCCAAGAGACGAATCGCACGAGGATGACGCCTCGATGGTGGCATTTACAGCAGCTACTGGCCTGGGCTTTAGAATGAGTACTCCCGAACCCGCTGACGTCCAGGGCAAGAACCCAGACGGCCTTGACGTGATCAACGATATTAGCCCCAAGAGCGTGGGAAAGGTCATGAGCTCCAAGAGAATGTCCATAGAACGGCCAGGGCCTCCGGGTTTGGTGCGCACTTTTTCAGCTCGTAGTTCTACCCGCACTTCGAGTATCAAGTCTCCTCTACACACGCCTGCATTGACGCCAAAAGCAACCACTCATGCAGAAGGAAAATCATACCTAGACGACGATTTATCCGAAGAGGAGCCCGAAAAGCCCCAGGCAATCGGTGTTGCCCGCACCGCCGATAATGCTATCCGATCAACATCTACTACTCCAGACGAGATGGCTCGTGAACCCAGCAGACCACCTGCTAGGGGAGCTTATGTAGAAGTCCAGCCTCGCACTTCTACTCCGACTTCGCTGCAGAGTCACAACAATTCTTCGCCGGATGACAAGTATGCGGGAGGAGAGCGTCTAATCATTCGAAAAGACATTGGAAGAAAGTCACACAGCAATGGAGATGTCACATCCAGCCCCATTCAACACGAGAGTCCCACCAGTGCCCCACGGAGACAGGATGGCCTTCGTTCCCCATCCCTCGCCTCGTCGTTGCCTGCTTTGCATGAGGTGGAGAGTAATCCAACGCAGCCCGTGGAGAAGGCCGGCTCTCTAGGTATGCGCAAATCCAGCTCTCCCACTTACGAAGAATCAAAACGCGACTCCACCTCAACAAATCATGACCCTCCCATGCAAGTACCAGATCGAAGACTGCAACGCATATCGACCGGAGAATCTGTCCGCTCCCAGAGTGCACCTTCTGAAAAGTCACCCTCAGATAATATGTCATTGAAGCGAGGCACTTCGACATCTTCTTCTCTGAAGAAGCAGGTTGTCTACCCTGTGACTTCTAGCGGACGGGATTCCGTTTCTAGCTACCGTTCGCGAGGCTTGAGCGGACGCATGTCAGAAGAAGATCGGACGCGTGAGTTTGACTCTTTGATTAAAGGACAGGAGACGGTCAAGTTCACATTGACGCCACAAAACATGCGAGACCTTGATGTAAGTCACAAACACCGCTGCCTTTTCAACCCACTAACGGTATGCAGGAAACTCCACCGCATCAGCCTGTGCAGCATCGCTCATCATCTTCATCTTCCGCAAAGCCATATCCTCGCGTCCATGCTGACGACAAGTCTTACGGCACTGCAAACTTGCCCAACACGACTGCACCTAGGGCAAAGTCGTCCAATGGGACCCACCACAGGCCATCGCCTAGCCGCAGCGTAGTTACCAGACCGCTTGCAAGAGACCCAAAGATCGAGTCAGAATCAATGCGCGACTTTGCCGACTTCATCCGGTCAACTGGCCCTTCGCCTGGCCAGGAGAAGCCTGTGCAACCTTTTGTTAGCATGAACGGACAGAATCCAAGTTCGAAGCCTAGCAACATCTCATCGTCTTCACTCGGCCGGAAGCTATCTACCAGACGATCATCTTCTGTAAACGGGACTTCTGCAAGAGCACGTGCCAACATGGAGCCACGCAGTCCGGCAGGCCTAAGCACGGGCAATGGCGACTTGATTGACTTTATCAGGCAAGGACCCCCGGATGCGAACAATGGGCAACCTAGAATCCCTCGGAGTGTTGCCCCCTTCCGCAGCACCGTGGATTCTGATCAGTTTGACAGCATGCTGGAAGGCCACGGCAATGTTGAATCAGCGTACGGCTCTGCAGCATCAACGTTAGAATCGAAGAACAGTGCCCAGACCATCAATTCTCGAACTGGTCTCATTGCATCCCCTGGTGTTGTGCAGCCGGCCTATTCCAATACGCCAAAGCAGCTGAGCGGAAGCATGTCAGCCTCTAATGATGAGCCTCAAGTCACGCGAACGAGGCGGCGCATCAAGGACCCATATGCGATTGACTTTTCTGATGAGGAGGATGATGAGGATGAAGACGAAGATCAGCTCACTGCACTTCCGCCTAGCGGAACGCAAACACCCAGACAGGCTCCGGCACAGCCACCGCGACAAGCTGCACCAAGACAGGAGAGTCTGATGGATTTCCTCAATGCCATGGAACCCCCATCGGTCAGCAAACCTCAGCCTTTTATGTTGAGTGAGGAGACTATTGCTGCTGCACGCGCGCGTGCAAATTCGTCGAAATCGCAGCCATACAATGGCAATGGTGGCGCGCATCCTGGCTCTTTGACCTCAACATCAATCACTTCCGATGCCGCACGTTCATACAAACCTCGCCTCCAAGCAAGGGCACCCGCATCTGGTGACGCCCGAGGTGGAGGTGCACGCACAGGCACGAGCGACCTAGCCGATTTCCTCATGAACTCTGGGCCGCCAGAGCCGCCAGTCACTCGTGCTGCGCCAGTCAAGGAAGAGAAGAAGAGCAGGAAGTTCTGGCGCAGCAAAAAGACATATGGTGATTTGCCATAATCATCAGACTGTTGTGACACGAGTGGAACATGAGACATACGGTTTGCTATTTTTTTTACATGACTTCACATCACTCGCTAAATAGATTTATCTCATTACTTTTTTTTTATTGAGAAAGAGGAGGAACGCTGAGGCAAGGGGACGATTACGGATTGTTGTTTCTGGACGGACTTTCTGAACGGACGATGGTTTCTCGATACCCACTTTTTGCATGTCATGTTCATGCTAACACGGAGTTTGAGTTTGTTCAATATTATCGGCATGGGTCGAGATTGGGATTCAATAAGTTTCATAGCGTTGATGTGCAATGTAACAATACCCACCCGATAGTGACTTTTCTACTTGCAAATACCCAGGTGACTTGCCGAGTGTCCAGGAATAGCCTGGTAAGCTATTTCCGAATCCGCATGACTCGCCTCGGCTCCCACTTCCCCAGATCCCCCGGCTACATCCGCAAACTTTATCCTCTTGTACCATAAAAGCTGTCTCAGAACACATCCAAACATGTCACCGTATACGTACGACCACTCACCGGGTAACGTTGAAAGTTTACTCGCAGAGCTGCGCAAGCATGGCATTGAATACACGCTTGATACCCACGAGCGCGATGCCAAAGCCAACACCACGCACTCGCCCGCCGCACCTCGCGAGACACCGTTGGCGGTTCTTTTCCCTACTTCAACACAGCAAACATCGATTATCCTCAAATCGTGCAACGACCGGCTGATTGCCGTCACGTCGTTTTCCGGCGGAACGAGTTTCGGCGGCGCACTCACGGCGAGCCGTAATGGCGTATGCGTTAGTTTTGAGCGCATGAAAGAGATTATCGGAGTGCATGAAGATGATATGGATGTTGTTGTGCAGCCGGGATTGGGATGGATGGAGCTAAATGAAAATTTGGAAAGTAAGGGCTTGTTTTTTCCAGTCGATCCTGCGCCTGGGGCGAAGATTGGGGGGATGGTGAGTTCTTCTTCTTCTTCTTCTTCTTCTTCTTCTTCTTCTTCTTCTTCTTCTTTTCTTACCTTCTTACAAGTCCTCTTCTTTTTTCGTTTCCCTCCATATTGGAAACGCTGTATGCTAAAATAAAAGGGATAATGTAGATAGCAATGTCTTGCTCAGGCACAAACGCCTACCGCTACGGCACCATGAAAGAAAATGTCATTTCTCTGACTTGCGTGCTGGCAGATGGCCGCATAATAAAAACTCATAATCGGCCTCGCAAATCCTCTGCAGGATACGACATTACTCACCTTCTCATTGGCTCCGAAGGCACTCTCGGACTCGTCACAGAAGCCGTGCTGCGCCTTTCCCTACTCCCCAAGAACCTACACGTGGGTCTCGCCACGTTCCCTTCTTTCCAGTCCGGCGTGGATTTCGTTGTCGAACTCCAGAAAACAGGGCACGTGCTGGAAGCCTTGGAGCTAGCAGACGGCCCGCAAATGCAGTGCGTCAATGTCTCGCGTCTATCTAGCATGGAGTGGGCTGAGATTCCAACTCTGTTCTTCAAAATCGCGGGACCGTCGATCGAGCGTGTGTGGGAGCAACAGCGTATCGTGGACGCGTTGTGTCGCAAGCATTCCGCGGGTAGGTTCTACGTCGCATCTCAAGAAAAAGATGGTGAGAGCACAAGCGCTATTTGGGCAGCGCGGAAATGCATGGGACAAGCACTTGTTTGTATGAAGAAGAGTCCCTCGGACGTGTTTCTGCATTCAGACTGCGCGGTTCCTATATCCAAACTTTCAGATCTCGTTCAGGGCACGCAGTCACTCATTTCCAAGGCTGCTGCTGCTGCGACGGGTAACCAAGGAGGTTGGTTCTGCGCTAATGTTGGACATGTTGGGGATGGCAATGTGCATTCTGCGATTATCTGTCCGGCAGCTGATCGCCGGGCTGCAGAGGCGGTGTTGAGGGATGTGGCGAGGTTGGCGCTGAGTCTTGAAGGTACAATCACGGGAGAGCATGGTGTTGGATTGGAGTTGAGGGATGCATTAGAAGAAGAGGTTGGGAAGAGTGGGGTTGAGAGTATGAGGGCGATTAAGGTGGCGTGGGATCAGAAGGGGATATTGAATCCGGACAAGGTTTTTAGGCTCGAGGGCGGGAGGATGGAGAAACTTTGATGTGTATGGGTGTTCGGATAATGATGGATGTTTTTCTCTAGTTATGACAACTTTCCGTTTTGAGTATTTCATTGGCAGTTGGACTTTCCAGAACAAGAGCTGACAAGGCTGGCAGATCGCATTGCATGTTTTCAACGGCTCGGGAAGTCTAGCGTAGATTTCTAAGCAACAACCATACATAGATGTAAGGTCGCCGATATCCCCTGCATACAAAGGATGCAGAAAGCGTTCATGCGATTAGTATTACATGCTTCTCAGCCTCGAATAGGAAAAGTTTGTCAATAAACTAATGTAAGTCCAGGCTGGACGAAAATCCTTATACACGCGCGAAACACACATTCAAAAAAAACCAGCTGAAATCGAGTTGCATCACGGAAATTGGCGGCTAGTCTTTCCAGCCCTTCATCTCGCATTGTCTGCACTGCTTTTTTCCTTCTTCGGTATAGTATACAAGAATTAATATCGGCTGCGGGAGTCCCAACTGCCTTGGATCTGGTTCCTCCACAGCGTTCTTATCCCTGCATCCAACCCTGGTTTTTTTCACTTCTACAACCGCTATTTCCTTTTCAGGCTGAACACCGACGGTCCAATTATCCCGTCCTTCATGGCAGCCGCAACGACGACACTTGAAGGATGCTGAGGCTGGTTGCCTTATTAATAACACACTTTTTTTTAAACCCCCGCAATCATCATGCAGTCGCTGCTAGTTTTGTACCGTGTGTAACCAGCGCCTCCGGACTAGTAAAGAAAAGGTAGGAGGGACCGCCTATTGCAGCCTTGTCGATATTTCAAAAAAAAATATCTGGAACCGTTCTCTCCAGTATCAACCACCTACAGGCAAGAAAAAAATGCCCAGCAAACAAGTGGCGGAGATGAGCCAAGTCCCCAGGCATGCAGGGATTGAGTCGACCCTTGCTTTAACAATCCGCTTGGCATACAGCCGCACTTTTGATTGATTTGAATCTACACTCCGCGACCAATAATAGGTCTGGGGTTTGGTAATAAGTACGATCTTGACCAAATACCAATGCTTGGTTGTGCCCATCCTAACCAGACTTCTGCTAATAGAAGCAGATTTCCTTAAACGATTCTTTTTATTGAATGTGTTGCTGATCTGTACGCTACTATGTACTTGTGCTGAGTCATTGCATACATGTGGGCCTTTGGATGCTTGGGCAATTGGCACTCCTTCCGCACCTAATGCTAGCGGTACGACGTTGGCGCGCATTGTGCAGGATTGGCGGGCAGGGGGTGGGTTTTCTGTATGCGGCTTTAGCGACCCTATACGCTTCTCTCTAAAAGTATTAAGTTATTCAATACTACATTTCCTTTAAAAATGTATTAATTAATATATAAAAATACATATTAAAACTTTAGTTTAGGTACTAAAAGGTATATTATAGAAAGGATAAAGAGTAACGTACCTCACGGGTTCGTGTCACACACGGGTTCGTGTCACAGTTTTGCCAAGCCCCCACCAAAACCTCT